CTGAGCAGAGAGATAGCAGCTCTTTCAGACACAGTCAGAGCCACAGAGGAGGAGCTGAGAGCTGAAGACGTCTCATTCCTGCACAACTACAAGGCTGCAGTGAAAAGAGTCCAACACTGCCCCCTGCTGGAGGATCCACAGCTGCCCTCAGGAGCTCTGATAGACCAGGCCAAACATCTGGGGAACCTGGCCTTCAACATCTGGAGCAACATGAAGAACATGGTGTCCTACACTCCTCTCATCCTGGACCCAAACACTGCTGGTTCAGAACTCATCCTGTCTGAAGATCTGACCAGTGGGACTAAAGGACAGAAACAGAAGCTTCCTGATAATCCAGAGAGGTTTTGGTCTCAGTGGTGTTCTGTCCTGAGTTCTGAGGGCTTTAACTCAGGGAACCACAGCTGGGATGTTGATGTTGGAGACAGTGGAGGCTGGACCCTTGGTGTGTTAGAAGAGTCTGTCCAGAGGAAGGGAGCCATTATGTCTGGATTGTTGGTTATAGGGTATGATGAAGTTGATTACTATGCATGGTTTCCACCATCTCCTTCCAAACGTCTCTCAGTTCAGAAGAAGATCCAGAGGATCAGAGTGAATCTGGACTGGGACAGAGGAAAGCTGTCCTTCTCTGATCTGGACACTAACACACACATATACACCTTCACACACACCTTTACTGACAAAGTGTTTCCATGGTTATACGCTGAGGATAAAGTAAAAATCTTACCTATGAAGATCTCAGTGAGCAAACAGCAGCTCTGATGTTCTCAGCATGAAGAACACAAAGTCCAAATGAAACCTTATTGATCTGATTGAAACTCAGTNTGTCTCTCGTTCTGCAGAAATTGTATCCATTACTGTGTATTTCAGTTCTTCTTTTCCAAACCTACATTTATGAACCCAACACCATCCATTAGCAGTTGGTCCATTTGTGCTGCAAGGCATGCATGAAGTGCAGTTAGTTTTTTCAGCCAGTAGGTGTGGATCATGTCAGGGCCTGGTGCTGTCCAGTTCTTCATACCTGCTGCTTTTTCTTGGACATCTGCCGTTGGCTGGAGTCCTGCTGCTCTTATACAGCTCAGGTAATGAGGCTGATGATCTGCAGGTGCAGAAGGACTAAACCTGCAATTGATGATTCAGCCCAGCAGTATATCCCAGGAGTCGTCCTCTGGTGGAAGAAGCTGAAGGATGAGGAAATAACCCAGCCACAACCCCAATCCCTGACACTCTTTAAATAACACTTCATAATGTATATGTTTTAAAACAATCATGAGACATGACAATAAACTGTAATCTTACTTAGGCTACATTCACACCGCAGCCTGAAGTGACCCAAATCCGATTTTTTTGCCCATATGCGACCTTGGTCTGATCTTTTCATGGCCGTCTGAACAACACAGATCCGATTTTTTCAATCCGACCCAGGCCACTTGGCTCCGTGGTCCTGAATCCGATAGGAATCTGATCTTTTTCTGATCTTGCATTCATCCGATCTGAAGGGCATTAATACCCGACAAAGGTCACCATTCTGGGTCTTGCTACACAGAAGCGGAAAGAAAAACAACCATGGCTGATGATGATGCGGAGAGGAGTATTTATGTTTAACCATATTGAAAATAATGAGTTTTTATGGTTGGAAAAGATCGCTAGATGAGCGCCGACCCTACCATCCATGTTTACTTCTACAAACACAGAGAACGCTGGCCTGTGCGTCCTCTACTGTGCCTGTTGGACACTTGCTTTGTATAACTGCAGTTCACACAGGAGATCACATACATGTTGCATATATTTGGAAATATGAACGGTAACACAAAAAAAAANCAAACACAGAGAACGCTGGCCTGTGCGTCCTCTACTGTGCCTGTTGGACACTTGCTTTGTATAACTGCAGTTCACACAGGAGATCACATACATGTTGCATATATTTGGAAATATGAACGGTAACACAAAAAAAAAATTATCAGATTTCACAAAAAAATTTGAATTGAGCATCAAGGCCTGCAGTGTGAACGTAGCCTTAGACCAAAGAAATTTCTCAGCATTTACCACCCGGGATCGCTTCTCCAGGAAGTCGGCCAGGAAGAAGCATTTTTTGGCAACTCCAGTCTGCCTAATCATCACATTATTACATCGTACATGTTTGCAGATGAAGGGACATGCATAGCTCCAGCCTTATCAAAATATTACACTTTGTTCTTAGATCAAGGACATCGCTCTCATGCAATTCCTAAATCGCTGCTACATGCAAAATGAGGATGACTTTTTATCCTGACAGAAATGTCCTAATTAGATAAAATACTTGGAGAGAAAAAAGACACAAAACAGGCAAGTTTTATAAGGGTTTAACAGACTCACACATAATTATTAAAGATAATTCTGATTCATTGATTTAGAGAAAATAGGCAGGATTGAGAGATTGCTAATCTGGATTAGGTGGGTAAATTAGATGCAGTGTAGCTGGAGGAGGGGATGATGACAGGGATGGTGAATAAGATGGAGGTGGAGGTTTGAGTGGTCTGGTTTAGCTGGATAATAGATGCTGCTTTATGCCAGACAGGTGATTCCAGAGAGGTTAGATGAAGCAGAGTTTGGGGCCTGCTGTGATTTTTTCTGATCCGAAGCATAATTTAACCCAGAATGGAGAGGACTCATCCAAAGTGCTTTAATAAGATCTGATCTGATATTCAGAGGATAACAAAAAAACTCAGATGACTGGCAGCCAGTTTCCCTTGTTCTCCTTTTGATGAGCAGATTTATAGAACCTAAAGCCCAGAAGGTTTGAAACTCAATGACTGCCAACGTATCAATCCATCACATACACCTCATCCCATTACTTCTCCCTAAAAATCTCGAACAGCCGTGGGAATTCCAAACAGTTATTCTCTGACATAAACTCTCTGGTCAAACCTTCCACATACACGCATGCTGATACCAGTATAGATCATTGCAATAGATTCATGGACTTTTTCATTAATAAGGTGGCATCAATACAGTCTGCTCTCCCTGTAACAGCTGAATCTCAAGTTGATATACCTCTCCCCACGCAAAGTAACACATTTTCAGCTTTCTCCGTTGTCACCCAGTCAGACGTGGAGAAGATCGTAAAAAGCATGAAAACTTCCACCTGCGTGCTAGACCCTCTCCCCACAGCATTACTTAAGTCTAATATTACAGCCATTTGCCCATTAATCACAACCATAATTAATCAGTCTTTGCGGGCCAGTCAGGTTCCCCCATCTCTTAAAACTGCAGTCATCCACCCTTATCTGAAAAAACCCTCACTTGACCCCAATATTCTTGCCCATTACAGACCTGTTTCAAATTTACCGTTTATATCCAAAGTTCTGGAAAAAGCTGTGGCAGCCCAACTTCATCAACATCTTCACATCCATAACTT